TTAAGCTCCTCAGCCTCACCTCCTGGCTCGCCCGTGTGACCCGGGTAGAACTTGGTGGGAGTAGGCGTTCCGCCAGGTATCGAGGCCCTAAACCGTTTAGGGCTTTATACGTAAGCGTTAACACTTTGAAGTCGATGCGGAACCTGATGGGCAGCCAATGCAATGCGGCCAGAGTGGGCGAAATATGTTGGAATTTTTTCACTCCACTGAGTAATCTGGCCGCCGCATTCTGCACCACCTGTAATTTCCGCAGCAACCTCAAAGGAAGCCCCACGTAGAGCGCATTACAGTGGTCTAATCTTGAGATTACGAGCGCGTGTAGTAGGGGTCGTATTGATGGTACTGATCCCCATATTCATCTCTAGAAAAATATCAAGATGGTTCAGAATAGTAATAAAACTCCCTGTGAGGGGGGTCATTATGAAAAGAGGAGAGGTGCCATCTCTTTTCCTGGTGTTTTGGGGGAAAATGATGAGACGCCTTTGAGCCAGAAACTTGAATAGGTACTGCCTGCCCTGGTGATCTAGGGCTTGAATGGGCTGAGGCCAGGCTGGGATGAACACCAGCTGGAGATAGGCCAGTACTCAGTGAGAGGCTAGCAACAGAGGCTGTAGCCTGGGCCGGTGTCAAAGTTGGGTCATCTCTATCCGAGATCGAACCTGGGGCATCTGTAGATGACTCCTCCAGAATCGGCAATGGAAGTACCGACTGGGGTTGGTCTATCAGAGCCGATTTTGTAGGCTTCTTAGGCTTCTTAGATTTAGGTTTGTCCTTTTTCTTAGAGGAATCATCTGGTTGGATTTTAGCCCTCGACAAGAAGGTCGATTTTGGAGCTGACTTAGTTTGGTCCTTCTCTCGGAGTGGAGGGGTCATCAGGTTTGATGGCAATTGAGAAGCTTCATGGTGCTCTGGATGCACGGACATCATCGGATCCATGGGAGTGGGATTAAGAGATTTCTCCCAGAGGTAAAAACAGAGTCTTTGCAGCCACAATTTAAGTGCTTTGTGAGTTTCTTACACTCAGGACAGGCGTTTGTCTGATGTTGCTCTCTAAGGCAGAAGAGGCGATTGTGACTGTCTGTGAGCAGGATTTTATTCGTGCAGCACACGCACCGCTTGAAAGGCCCTGGAGGGGCCATAAAAAGTAGGGAAAGGCGGAAAGGAGAGGCAGTGGGGGAGTGGGGAGAGAGAAACTGTGGAAAAAGGAGCAAAAAGATGATTTAGACAATCAAAAAGGGAAATAAAAAAACTTACAGAGGAAATGTCCAACAAAAGAGCTGATTAAAGAAAAAAAAATTAAGGAATTATCTCGCAAGTACAATTAAACAATAGCTCTAGCGTTCCAAAATAGATCCAACTGAAGCGGGGGCAAAAAGGAACTGAGGGGGCTTCTGGCGGGCGGAGCATGCGCTCCACAGGGGAACATCTTACTTATCACATGTCTTTAAGCTCTAGAAACTTCCGAGAGGTCCTGCGCAGATGCAGAACAACCCAATTGTGTGCATTCACAGAGGCCATGAAGAAGAATATATATTTTCCCTTTCACACTACCATGTGCACCCTGAGTGATTACTCACAATTCATTGCTCTATGTTCATCTTACTAGCCTGATGCATCCTTCTAACATTCTTAATACTGTACAGTAAATACCACATTTCTACAAAGGACTCACCTTCAGAACTGGGCCATCCATCCTAAAGCTGTAGATAGGGCTCTGCCCATCTTCTATTTGGTAGTGAAGGCTACTGTTGTCACCCACTGCACTGACACAAGACAGAGGTAGCAGAACTTCTCCAGTGGGGGTCGTCTCAGGAATAGCAGTCCTAGGATGAAGCAAGAATAGCCATATGGGGTAGAGCAGTGATCCCCAACCTCGGGCCTCCAGATGTTCTTGGACCACAACTCCCAGAAGCCTTCACCACCACCTCTGTTGGCCAGGATTTCTGGGAGTTGAAGTCCAAGAACATCTGGAGGCCCAAGGTTGGGGACCACTGGGGTAGAGGATAGAGATGGTGATTTGAAGGGAGAAAATAATACCTCCCTCCTCTTTGGTTCTTAGGAACTAGAGTCAGACACTGTTAATGCCAAAGAGAGGAGCTCATGCACATCAAAGTTTCACAAGACAACCACAGCTATTAATCTGTTTGGAGTTTATGGCAGCAGTGATAAGAAGACACATCCGTGGGGCTCTTGTTGCTCTTTCAGACAGCCTTAGTTCCCCTCCCAGCAAGCTGCATTACTCTTAGACCCCAAAGAGGCAACTAAGATCAAGGGATACTCCTAACAACCTGAACTACACATACAGTTATCTCCAGGGGAACTGCCAATTCTGTGACTACTTAAACAAACAAACAAACAAACAAACAATGAGACATAATTCTGTTGCTCTGTAGAAACTTACACAAACACAGCAGGAGAACACCGGGGGCCTAGCAAGTTCTGAGGCTTTACAGTAATGTTGACGGTCATGTCAGCACTGTCAGAGGGATGATGCATGTTGTAGGCTCTCACTAACAGCTGGGTATGAGCTAAGCCTGGATTGCGTTCCAGATCAAGGTTGTACGTGTTCTTGATCATGCCCGTCTCTGTGTGCAAGCAAAAGAAGCTGAGAGTCAGTCAGCCCTTTGAGGGCAAGAGAGAGTTTGAAGACCACTGTTGTTAATGATCACCACAGAAGTTGCTGCCTACTCTGTGTAGGTGCCTCACAGCACACTGAATTCCCATTACCTGGAACAATGGTGAAATAGCTTGTGTCTGGAGAGACAATCTGGTAACGCACATTTTCCCCAGTTGCATGGATCTGTATGATTTCCTGGAGGGGCCCTGTGTTTTCCAACACCGATGTTGCTACTGATGTCTCCCTGAATCACGAAGAAAACAACGTTAAGAACCTTGTTCTGTGCCAGGAATCTGACAAGTGCTACTCATCCTACTTTTGTGATAAAGTAGAAGAAAAAGCAAGTTAGAAGGGATGTCAGGGGGCGGGGGCAGTCCTACCAAGATATGAGTCTTGGCTGCTCAATGCAACTTTGGAAGTAAACATGGTCTGGAAAAATGCCTCCAAAAGTTTCCTTTGCTATTCTTCAAAGACTTTAGAATTGGTGCTGTGGGCCAACCTTTGATCAAAAAGTGGTCAACAGTCTTCAGGGAGGACTGCATTCCATATTGCTCAGTGGCCATGCTGGCTGGAGGATTCTAGGAACTGAAGTCTAGACCAGTGGTTCTTAACCTTGGGTTACTCAGGTGTTTTTGAACTGCAACTCCCAGAAACCCCAGTCAGGACAGCTGGTGGTGAAGGTTTCTGGGAGTTGCAGTCCAAAACTCCTGAGTAACAGGTTAAGAACCAGTGGTCTAGACAGTAACTTCCCCAAGGTTAAGAACCAGTGCTCTAGACAGTAACTTATCCAGGCCGTAGCCTGCCCTGCCACTGGACAAAGCACTGCACAGTTCCTCTTCTAGTGGCATGATGCTTGAACCAGGGTCGGTAGAAAACACGACACTCAATGATTCCCAGGGGGCTGCTTTTTTTTGTTCTGCTTTGGCTGCTCTGGGGGTCAATATCTAGAGGTCTCCAGCCAGACCTATAAGTCCAAAAGATATATACACAACACAGGTAACTTTTTGAGGGGAGGCAATCTTTCCACAGATACTAACTCAGCCCCGTTTTGACCATAGTGCACCAGAATCCCTTGCAGCATCACAGAGATCAGGCGCAGTCTGAGAGTTATGCCCTGCCACTCTCTGCTTTGTGATGCTGTTGTGGGAGATGCTGAAGTTCCATCTTTCCTAGGGCTTAGTGCAGCTGCTGGGATTCCAAAATGTCTCCGATCAGGCCCTCCTGCTGGCAGCCCAGAGTCTGGGTCGATGGGATAAGGAAGCTGGAGACCAAAGGTTCTTATCTCTTTCCTCACATTCCCCCAACTCACGTGAAATTGACTTGGTTATGGTAAACAGACACAATCTCAACTGAGATCGGCATGCGGCAGCTCGCACCACTGCCATCTGATACCACAATGTCCATTGAGAATATCTGCAGAGAGAACAACATTTTGTGAGTTTGCTAGCAAGAAAAATGGGTGTAATCAAAAGCAGGGTCCCAGTGCAATTCTGGGTCCAGGGGGGACTAATGGCAAGAGTATAGTAACAGTAGTCTAGAGTGGTCGAAATGACTAGATAGGCGGGGTATAAATAAATAAATAAATAAGCAGTTGGGCATTTGATTCACCCTTGCACCTATTGTGAGGAGAACCAGTTTGTGTGGCCTTGAGCAAGTTGCAGAGTCCTAAAAATGCCCCCAGAAGAAGGAAAAGGTAAACCATTTCTGTGCATTCTCTACCTGAAAAACCCTGAAGTGGGTCACCATAAATCAGAATTGACTTGGCGGCACATGATGATGATTATATGGTAGCAGTACATTCTGAAGTGCTGTAATCATTAATCTAATTCTCTCCATAGCCATACCACTTCTGTCTATTCTCTACCTCGAAAACTCTGGAAAGGGTTGCCATACGTCAGAATTGACTTGGCGGCACATAATGATGATGATTATATGGTAGCAGTATATTCTGAAGTGCTGTAATTATTAATCTAATTCTCCACATAGCCACGCCTTGAAGAACAGTGACTGTACAGATACATATCTGTATATAACTCAGAAAGAACAAGGAAATTGGGAGTGGAGGTGTTGGCAGATGACCTTGTCATCCCTCCAACTCAGAAACAATACAAGTGTTCCGACATTGTGAGCCAGACCTTGAATGGCACTCCACAGAAGCCCCAGGAACAGGTTCCCAGGGGACTATCGGGAGCCTATGGCTAGAACAGTCCTAGGAGGATGTGGAGATGGGTGGGTCAGAAGTCCAGTGGGAAGAGATGGCTGAGCAGAGAAGCAGCACCACATAGGCAAACCATTCCTCTTTGTGAATCACTTCTGATATTTATTTCATTTCTTTATTTAAAATGTTTTACCTTGCCCTTCTCCTTAAAAAAAGACCCAGCCAAGGAAGTGACATGCCGGGGAATAGAATCTCATGGGCTACAATCAACAACCGGTGGATCTGGCATGGGCCAAGCATATAGGTGCATAAGGAAAACAAAAGAAAACAACGGTGTGTACCTTGCCAGCTTGCTCACGGCTGAAACCTTTGGCAGGCACCTGCACTATTCCATTTTCAGTCATTTGGAAAGGCACAGAATCATTCTCAAGGGTGAACTGTCAAGGGAGAAGTGAAGTCGGTCAGTAAAGCTATGAAACAGACCTCTTCTGCAGCACCTGTCCCTTCTATTTCTGTTTTGTTTGTTTATTTGTGTATTTAAAATTTTATTCCTCCCATCTAATGCCCAGGTCTTCCTTTCCCTTGTTTGGGGCACCCCTGGAAAGTACCAGTTCCCACATTCTCAAGAGACCTTCCCATGGTCAGTAAATTTCCTTTTCCCAGACACCTCCAGCATGTTGCTGACCCGCATTCCCTTCTGACAACAAATCTTGCTAGAGGCACATTCCCTGGTCTTCCCCGTAACCATCGTGTTTACCTTTAAGGGGCCTGTGCTCTCCCTCTTTAGGACAGGTTTATAGATGTACAAACCAGGAGTAGCATCCTCTGGAACTTGTATTGGCATCCTTCCTGCAGTAATACGGTAGATGAAAGCAGACAGGCTCCTGTTCCACTCAGACCATATTGCTTTGGCAACACTAGAGCCATGATCTGGTTGAGATCCCCATTGGACTGAGCAGACCTCCAAGTCCCATTCCAAGTGTCTTATGGCAATTGTACAACCACCCTCAAGCCTGCTTCCCTTGCCTTGTGAAATCTATGTCTTCTTGTTTCATCCAGGATCTGTTCCATGTTCTTGCTCCTCAGTACCGGTGGTCAGATTCCATCCCACTCTACACCCCCCCCTCAGCTTGACAGCCGTATATTAATACCTCAACACCAGGGCACTTAAGCAGAGCATGCAAGACCCCAAACAGATCTAAGCAAGTGCAACACCAGCCCTACCTATGTCAGCAGACCTGCTATTGCACTCCAGCTTGTCAGCTGCGGTGACCTTGACGAAAAGTTGAACCTCCCTTGATTTGTCTGCACAATGTACGCTGTACGTCAAGATGTACTGATTCACCTCTCTGGCATCCAGGGCAGCACTTGAACTAAGGCTCACCTGGCAATCAGAACAAAACATCCTTAGCATATTCCCACTTATCCATCAAGAGGTGCAGCGCTTCAGCTCCCCTCTTCTGCACTACCACCTTTCCTGAACAGCCTTTGGGATACCTGCTCCACAGAAGCAACAAGGGCTTCTGGCCTGTCAGACTGGCATTGTACATCCAGCTCCCCAGGATTAGGCAGCAACATGCAGGGAGAAAGTCTGTAGTATATACATGAAGAGAAAAACAGTTAAATCACTGCTGATTTTTCTACAATGATTCTAGCACTGGGCCAGCCCTATGATGATGGAGACAGAGGCAGCTAGCTTAGGCAAAAGATTTTGGCTGCCTTGGGAGTGCAGCTAATAGCTATTTAATTCATTATTATTGCATTTTTACCCCCAGTGCTCAGCGGAGAGAATGCTTGTTGGATTTTCTGCCTCCTCAGGTGCCACTTTGTTTGAATAGGTGGAGTAGGAGTTTCATTTGCTGCTCTGTCTCAAATGGCTAAATATCTCAGCCCAGCCCTGTTCCAGACGGTCATATGACCCCTCACAAGAAGAAGACTCCAGATGAAAAGCAGCCCTTTAATGTGTTATTCAAAGACCAAACAATTAGAAACTGGCCTTCGAGAATACAATTAGAAACTAACTTGGGGAAGGGGGTGGGTGGGAATTCCAGAACCTATCATGGGGATCTTTAAAGGAAGGTGCCCTGCCTCAATCACTGAATATTATAGGATGCCTAAATATGGCTCCAGAGAAAGGGCTCTAGTGCTACCAGTTCAAAGATCCTGTGTGGCTGTTCCATTTTTCCACTTGAATAGATTTTCTATGGAAAGAAAACGTGATGGAAAAATACAGGTGGATTATAAATTTCTCTGCTTCAGGCACAGTGATCTCACAATAAAAGCATCATCTGAAAGTACCGATGGTCTTCCACTTGTAACTTTTCCAAGTTTTGCATTTGCTCCTTCTACCTCCCTACAAAAATCCATTAATATTGAGCAGCTACATAATACCTTTTGATTGGCGAAGAGCCCTTCCTCTGGAAGCACTCCTAATTGCCACACATTTCAGATCAGAACAGCTTAGGTCACAGATAGTTTTCTAAAATGAATCCTTAAGTATGCCGTGCCTTCTCAAACCTAGTGATTCTCCTACTTAAGTCCCCAGATGTTATTGGACGACAATTCCCCATTTGTAGTGAAGATGTATCTATATTACTTATACTCACCTATATGAAGAGTGGGCAAAGTGCAGCCTTCTAGGTATTCCCTAACTGCTGCTCCCCTCACCAGCACAGTTGTTGGTGGTGAAAGCAGTGATTTGTAGTCCAACAACATCTGGAAAGCTGAACTTTGCTCCTTTCAAATTTACTTTTGATTTGTGATAGATAAACCATGTGTTCCATTGCACCTTACTGATTAATATGACTTCTGTTTCATCCTTGTACTTTCTCTGGACAAACTGAACTGAAGTGAACTCTACTAATAGTAGTAGAGAAAGACTTTTTTCCTGCAATCAAACCAAACTATGACATTCTCTATTCTGTATTCCCAGGATAACTCCCCCTCCCAGTGTCTAAAGTGTATCAATGTTATTTGCTGTCAAGTCTCATCCGACTTACAGTAGCACTAATAGTGCTTTCAAGATGTGAGATCTTTAAGGAGTAGTTTTTGATCACTTCCTCCTCCCTGAGTTTCCAGGGCTAAACCCAGGCCACCTTGGTTTATCATACTGTCCACTACACCACACCTGGTACTACAACTGTCTAGAGAACATTATAAAGAGGAAATGTCCCTGTATCTTGTGGACCACCACATTTAAAATGGCTCCCCCTTTGAAAGAATTCAGAGTTATTGACCTAAGTAGCCAATCCCTAAATTAAATAAGTGTTGGTTTATTATTCAGCAGTTGATACAAGAGGTCTGTTCGATTTGAGACTCTTAGATTTAGTCAGTTACCCCAACTGTGTACCACTCCACAGGTGCCCTTGCAGGTGGTAGGTGTCACTCACCTGGTAGGTGCCAATGGATAAGGTATTTGGCAGATTGAAAAAAGAGGTTGTGGGGATAATGTTCTTCTGAATTATACTGGGTGTGTGACTAGAGTTTTCACATTTGACAGTGAAGTTCGCCACCGTTGTTCCTGGAGGCACACTGTCTTCCAGCCACACAGTTCCTGGGATCCCATCAAGATCTGCAGCGGGTAAAAATTTTGTTGAGAGAGGTGTGACTGCATGACACCAGGGACTTCAGCTCAGTAATATATGTGCTATTGATAATGGGATGCTTCTCTTCCAGAAGGATCATCTAAGCAGAACACTATATCAAGAGCCGTATAAAAGGAGTCTCATTAGTCTGCACATTGCTTTAATAGTTTTCTAAAGCCAATTGATTGGTTGGTTGGTTTTCCCCACCCTTCTCCTTAAAAGGACCCTTTAGGAAGCCCAAGCTGACACAAGAACATATAATACACATCACTTCTTAAAAAGAACATTTTCCCCCGTATGACCCAGCCATCTTTTAAAAGGTCATTGAGGAAGGACCTATCCAGAGTCCTCTGTTTCCAAGAGATAAAGGCTAGCATATAGCAAGAAGCTACCTAATGCTGTATCACACCATTGATTCAGCCAACTTAATACTATCAACAGTGATTGAAAATCTCCAGAGTTTCAGACAAGACAACTTTCCCTTCCTCACCTGAAATCAATGGGAACTGAACCCGGTGCTTGCTGAATATAAAAGATGAGCTCTATCATTAGGTTATAGCTGGGCTTTTTTCTGACATGTCCCCAGCATTTTAGATTAGGTAGCTTCCAAGCCCTCCCTGATTCCCCTGTCTCAGTTAGGGCAATTTTATCTTGTTGTACTCCAGTTCCCACAAACCCTAGCCATCCTAGCCAATTGTGAGATATAGTGGGAGTAGCAACTCAAGGTTTCAAATGACTATCAGCTCATCTACACTACAGGTGTCCAGCCTGCAAAGTGTAGGGTCTACCACAGAGCAATGGCAGCATCTTTTCTGTCATGGCCTCAAAATATCAATGGAGGCCACAGGTTCCCCACTCCAGAAGTAAATGGACAAGGATCTTTCCTTCTCTTCTAGGACTTCCTCAGTTGCAGTCTTCTATTTTCTTGTGACTTCCTCACTTGCACCATCTATTTTCTTGTGATATAAGTCTAATGGGGAGAGGGGGGATGTGTTAGAGACAGTCCAGATCTTGCTACAGTATCTCACTGGTCTGGAGCACAGAGGCAGTATTCACTTCAGACTAAAGTTGAGAAGTTTGGTTCAAAATCAACTGTGTATTGTGAAAGTGAGAAGCCTGTGGCTCTCCAGATGATTTTGGAGTGCAGTTCCCATAATCCCTCACTACTGACTACTCTAACTAGGACAGATGGGAGGTGTAAACCCCATCTTTGCTGTCCTTTCACAAGAAGGCAAAGACTTTTCTCTTCAAGCAAGCTTTCCTTCAGTGACTGGTTATCCAAGTGTGATTTTTAGATACGTAGATTGTTATGCTTTACTGCTTTGACTGGGTTTTTACTACTTCTTGTGTTTACATTTCTCAGAGTGGGATTTATTCCTTTTAAAACTTTTGTGTACTTATTGTTTTAGCTCTATATTGTCTTTTTTAATGATGTAAAGCAGACTTTTTATACTCGTTGTTCTTAGCTTTGAATATTGTATTTTAATGATGGAAATCACCGTTGTATATTCATTGTTTTCTATTTTAAATATTGTCTTTCAATTATGTCAGCTGCCTTTGATCCTTTTTAAGGAGAAAGCAGAAAAAGTTATTTTAAATAAATAAAATAAATACCCCCCCTCCAAATAAAACATTTGAAGGGCCACGGCTCCTGATGTAATACCCCAGGATCATAGAATGGCAGACTATGGGAGAACGTCAAATGTGGAGAATGACCAATGGAAAATAAGTCAGTTCATAACAGCTGACGAAGACTGGAGTATTTACTAAGTTTGCTTTATTATATTGGTTACACATGCTCTTTCTTTGCTCTTTATGCCTGACTGATAAAACCTGATGGTCTTAATTATACTGCTGCTCTATGTGTTTTACAATTTATTTTATTATTTTTGAAAAATACCTTCATTAGATTTAGAAGAACCTGCACTAGCAATTCAGGCAAACACAAAGGATAACTAAAAAGTAAAGAAAGCAAAGATGTTGTGGCACCTTAAAGACTAACTGCTAAACGTTTATGTAATGAACATAAAAATAAATAGACAAGAGAAACTAAAGAAACAAAGCAAAAGGGAAAGAGAGAAGAAAGTAGATCAACAAGATATCAGAAAGTACATGAAGCATGTCATCAACAATAGAAACAATTATTGAGCAAGCTGAAACTGAAATTCAGTGAGCATCAGTAAAGCAGTACCATTCGTTAGCACAAATGATCTGGAGTTGCATTGTTTTTTATTTTTGTTTATCAATGGTTATTTACAAATGGTTATATTAACTATCCGAGGTGTGTAGGGAATATATTGTTCACATGTGTCAGATACCAAGTTCCAATCCACTTATCTTCTCATTGAAACTCCTCACCACCAACTGAAATGCTCCCTAGACTACAAGTATATTATTTGGAAGGTGGAACAGATGCCTTGCCAAGCTTTGGCCATCAGCAGCTTTGACAGGGACATCTCACTTTGGAGTTTTAGGTGCACAGGTGTCTGTAGGGTCACCTGCCAAGACATGTGTTTGCGTGCACCTGCTTGGCTATAACTCATGTTTGCCTACATTTAAGAACAGTTGGCTTTGTTTCCTCAGCTGTTATGCACCAGGGGCCTGTTCTTGCCTGGCATATGGCGATCTTCATTTCCCCACCTCTAACAACCGGGCAATAACAGAGAATGATGCAAGTCTCCTTACCTATCTGTCCAATGGCTGGATCTGATGGGTAGGGAAAGAAAAACAGAAGAAGGGTTACTAGGGTCTCTGCCTGCCACTGGTGCAATTAATAAACTCATATTCATCCAGAAAACATACACCAATGCACGAAGTTAAGTCAACTGGAGGTGCCAGATCAGTTGTGCTTTTACAGAAAAGGGGATTTGGACAACTGCAGCATGTCATACAGTGTCAAGAAAAAGCATCTACAGTACCTGTTTGCCTTTGTTTCCAGCTGTGCTTTAGTTACAACTATCTCTGCTTTTGGAAGCACCAAGCCCAAAGCACTAGCATTCTACTGATCTTTTTAGCAAAGAAGATAAGAAAACTGTTATGATTTGTTTCATTGTCAATATAAACCCAAGGAAGAGGACTGGGGCAGAGGTGGAAAAGTCACTTCCTTAAGATTAAAATTCCCAAGTCCTCTCCTAGTGGCATGATTTGAGGAGCTGTAGCCCCAAAATATAACCTTCTCACATTTTCATCGGGGAAATATCTAGAGTGCTCAAGGCTTTCCACTCTTGACCTCAAAATAATTTGCTATCTAGAAACAGAATCCTCTGAGTCACAAAACCAAACCAAGACAGTGTCCTAAACAGGGGGCTTATTTCCTTTGTCTCTTTTTATACCAACTTTGTAACATATAAGATGTTGAAGATCAACTTAAATGTGAAACAGGAGGTCATCTATAACCTAGACGTTATCTCTCCTAGCAAAAGTAGGTTCAAGAAAGCCATTCAGTTCTGCAAAATGGGGTAGGAGAGGCTTAAACAAGAATCATAGCTTCAGTGTCATTCTCATGACTCAAATCATTTCTACACCTATTACTAAAATTTTAAATCTGAACACATGCACACATGTGAAAAATGTACAAACACATGGATTTTGCATGCCGCAGCTGTTTGGGCTGTGACTGGCCAATGGAGACTCACTCGACTTCCAGGCAAAATCAGAGTCAAAATCAAAAGAAAAATGAAAAAAAAAATCATACTTTGTGGCTGAACTATGATCTGAACCTGATGTGATACGCACTCCCCTTTATCCTGACTGCAGTACCCTAATAGAGAAATCTTACAGGAATGGGATCCTCTGCTTAGCAGTACCCTCCCCACCTGACACGGAGATAGCGGTTTCTCCCCACCACGTCTTACCTGTAGCATAGATAGTGAAGAGCAGCAAGAGAGACAAGGGCCACCCCAGCCCCATGATGTGAGTGTTTGCAGCTTGAGCGTGCTAGGCTTTGTGCCTTTGCTTCCTTTAGTTGCTAGCTTGGGTTGCTAATGACACCATGGATTAAGCAGGGCAGGGCAGTAGGGCAAGGCAAGGCTTGGGTGTGTGAGAACTGCCCAGCCCTTCTTAATCCATGGTGAGAAAAATGAAACCTCTCTCTCTCTCTCTCTCTCTGTGTGTGTGTGTGTGTGTGTGTGTAGAGCCAGATTTTGACTGAATATCAGGAAAAAGTGTCTTAACTGTTAGAGCAGTACGACAATGGATCCAATTACCTCAGAAGGCAGAGAGCACTCCAGTGCTGGAGGCATTCAAGAAAAAAATGGATCATCCTCGTCAGGTCCACTTTGATTTGGATTTCTGCACTTAGCAGGGAGTTGGACTCAATGACCTTACAGGGCCCTTTCAACTAAATTATTCTACTCTATGATTTGCTGTGGAGGAAACGGACACTCAAAGTTTTCCCCCTGTTTAGGCTGCAATCAGCTCTATTGCATATGTGCAGATGAGCTTGAGAGAAAGACCTCAGTGGAACTTAGCAGACATACCTTCTTGTACAACATGAAATGGAGACGCTGAGCAAATACCACAGAAGTCTGTTCCATTAGGGTGCAAATTTTTGAAAGCATGACATGTATGTGTAGCTTGTGACTGGAGCAGAAGGGTCACCCTCCCCTACCATTCTGGAGCAGGAGAATGGCACCTCCTCTCACATTTTTAGGCCAGAGGGCCTTACTTGCCACACCCATGTGTAACAAGTGCAGGTGGGAGTTGACTTCCCAGCTATGTTAAGCGCAATCATTATTCACATCATCATTGTCTCATAGAGTGTTATTGTAGGGCTAGGAAAACCCAGGTTCAAATAATGAGGTTCACTGGTGGGATCTTTGACCAAGTTGTCTGTCAAACCAGCCCACCTCACATGATCGTTGTGGGGATAAAATGGCAGTGGATTCCTTAGAGGAAAAGGAGGATATAATAATAATCATACATATGTTTCCAAAGCTGGATGAGTTGTTTTGGAAGTGAGTCTCATGAATGCATCTCTCTGAGAAGAAAAATATAGTGATAATGAACTAAGCAACTCACAATTTGCTGCCTTTTCACACACTCAAGCACAGGAGTCTTTCTTTACTTATCCATCATTTAAAATTACCTCCACTGTGATCATTGTAAAGACTGACCAGCACCTCTCCCTTGCACTAACCACAGTGTGAGGTGTGCTCAGACTGAATGGATGCAGTGTTGAAGTTGCTGTGGCAGACTTCCATGGTTTAAGATCGAGAACCTAAAGTATCTGATTTTCCAGGTCTAATGAATCCACCTCTTCCCTCCTCCTAGCACACTGCTTGCTTTTCACCTCTTACCAGATGAAGAGAAAATGTTCCCCAAAGTGTCGATATTTTTATGTGTTTCTGCATTTATTTATTTATTTACATTTTTGTTTGCTTACAAAGGTATTACAATGTAGAGAAGGAACACTAGTTTTAACAGAAGTGATTGTGGGCTTGTGGTGAGGCCAGCCTTGTCCAGTCTGGCCTAGCCCATTGTCTGCTCAGCTGCTCTGGTATTTAGTGCAGTGCCCACAAGAGTGCACTCTTGTGTCATGCTGACCAAATAAGGTTGGTTTTTGAAAGAAAATCTGTTACAGCAGCCAATGAGGTAGGCTCCTCTTCTGGACCACTGAGAAAAGTTTCCTTCCCATCTGTTCATACCTGCCCACCCCACAATCCATGATGGGGTCTGACCATTCCTCACTGTAGCGTCATAGTGACGAGGCATAGGTGCAAGTGTTTGGGACAGGCAGCTAGGGAGCAATATGGCTCCCTTACTCCACCTCAGTTGAAAGAATAACTTATGGTTAAATATGGAAGGTTTGGAAACCAATGAGCTGAAGAAGAGTTGCAGGTTTTCCTAATTTTACTTTTCACCACTTGGATGGCCTAAATGAAACACTGGCAAAACGTTGCTGCTCCATTCAGTTTTTTCAGTTGGCTGCTAGAAAATGCTATTTTTCCTGTGGGTATCAAATTGGGAGAACTGCTTGTACAGTATTTGTATGTCACTCCTTTAGAGTGTAAAACAACAGTGGGTATCAAATTGGGAGAACTGCTTGTATTTGTAAGTCACTCCTTTAGGGTGTAAAACAACGCCCTCAAGGAAGTAATGATATAGAATGGTGGCGCAGAAGCTTTGCCCCCTTCCTTCCTCCATCAGTATGGTCAATGGGAATAAATTATGCGACTTGAACTCAAAACATCGGGAGAGTCAAAGTCTCCACAGCGCAATTCAGTCTTCTTCTCCTTTCCCCCCTCCTTCAGCCTCTTCTAGTTTTGAATATGGAAGCTCTAAACCGTGACATTGTGTTGTATAGAAACCAGGCTCACAGATTTTTCAGGCAGTAACCTCTTCTCCTTCTTGATCGGGTCCTAGATCAAATCAACTGAAGAGGCAATAATGCTAGGAACAGTTGAAGGCAGCAGGAAAAGAGGAAGACCAAACATAAGGTGAATTGAATATATAAAGGAACCACAACCTTGACTTTAGAAGAGCTGAGTAGGTCGATTGGCCTATATTTTGGAGGCTGCTCATTCATAGGATCATCATAAGTCAGAGGTGACTGGACAGCACAAACTAACAACAACAGCCATTGCTTTTTGTTTGTTTGTTTGTTTCCCATTACAGTGACCAAAGTATTTTAATTGCCTGCAGTTTGTGTATTTTACAATTTCTTGGTCTTGATCCATTTACTTCAGTACTTCTTCATTGCTTATTCTCTATCCAAGTAATTCTTAGCATCCTGAGATAAATCCACATTTCTCATTTTTGTAGTACCCTGTTACAAAGTCCTTGATCCTATGCCATACAATAGAACCAGGAACACATAACACCCAACCATGTGTCAACTTTCAGCTCTTGTTGCAGATTACATTCTTCACCTTCAAACAAGCAGGTCCCACCATTTCTGTTCTGACTTTTATCTCATGGTTATGATCCCACAATTTATTTAACCAAATTCACCAAAATGCTCCACATTTTGTGTTGGATCTTTGATGGCATTTCTTGTGTGCTTAACTGACCATGAACATGGGTATCTCAACATTTATTTTTAATCATATTCATTGCTTCATCAACATTATCGAGTAACCTTTGCAGAACACCTTAACCACCCCAGGCCACATCCTATGCCCCATCTATGTTTCTATGCAGCCACATAATATATAAAGGTTATATACCTGATGTTGTTTTGCTTTCTGATTACTTTGGTCTTGTTCCCATTCAGATTTCTTCTTTCTTCTTTGTGATCACCATCCCTTCCAAACTATGAAAGCTTTTGCAAATATTGAGCTACTATTGATTCTCATTTGGATTTCCTCATAACTGCAACCAATCTGCTTGCTGAATGGAGAACTGTGGCATCCCTCCAGCTGATGTACTCCAAGTGAAGGAAGAATGCAGGGCTTGCAGAATCATCTGCAACTGGCAACACGTAAAGGACCAAAGATTCCCCTGAAGTAGTATCGTGTTTCCTTGAAAATAAGACAGGGTCTTATATTAATTTTTGCTCCAAAAAACACATTAGGGCTTATTTTAAGGGGATGTTTTATTTTACAGTCATGTCATCTTCTGGTTGCTGCAGAATGGTGGAGGGCGGGATTTCACTTAACTGGGGCTTATTTTGGGGGTAGGGCTTATATTACGAGCATCCTGAAAAATCATACTAGGGCTTATTTTCAGGTTACGTCTTATTTTCAGGGAAACAGGGTATGTACTATGTACTATGGTCATCTGTACTATGGGATTCCTGATCACCATGGACAGATATGAAAGCTGAACAGTGAAGAAAGACTGAAAGGAAACAATCAGTTCATTCAAAACATAACTTTGAAGGGGAGCTTTATGTATACCATGGATCAGAAAAACAAAATATGAACATTAGATTAAATCAGGCCTGAGCCCCATCCCAGAAGCAGAATTGATAAACTGAGGCTCGTGCACTTTAGCCACATCACAAGACGACAATATTCACCAGAAAAGACAATAATGATAGGAAAAGTTGAATGCAGCTGGAAAAGAGAAAGACCAAATATGAGAAGGATTGAAGCTACAGCTTGAGCTTTCAGGACCTGAGCAGAGCTGTTGATGACAAGACATTTTGGAGGTCATTGATTCATAGGGTCACCATAAGTCAGGAACAACTTGACCAAACATAACAACAGCAACGAAATATCTTCACTCCAATGCAAGTGTTCAGCACCAGCAACAGTTTCTGTTCCTTTAAGAGCTCAGAGACCAAAGACATTCAGGCAAATCCAAGGGATACCTTTTTTTCCTCTGAAGGCTGAGGGCTAAAATAAAGTGAGAAGTTTAAAGACAGATTAGGGAGGAAAGAAAGGCTTAAGATTCTGCCCAGTATTCAGCAAAGCCCTGCAGGAAGTTGGCCAGGAGAGTAAAGGACAGGCAGACAGCTTTGGTCTCGGCATATCTGCGTGTAAATTCTGCTTCCATTTATGGTTGCATGTCCAGCTTCTTATTGTTGCACAGCTGCTAAGAGTCAGGGGAGGATTATTCTCTGAGCCAGATGACAGCCTGAAGTATGATTTGATCTTATTTTTACCAACAGCTACATTGTTTTGGGGAGCATCCTGCTACTTCTTGCAGCTTAGTTATTTGTTCACTGCGGTAATCACACTCCAAATTTTGTTTCAAGGATGGTGTTACTGAGGATGTTTGCAAGCGTGTGACACCTTGTTGTTGTGTGCAGTTAAGTTGCCTCCAACTTTTAGCAACATTATGAATGAGCAATCTCCAAACTGTCCAGTCCTCAGCAGCCCTGCTCAGGTCTTGCAAATGCAAGCTTGTGATTCCTTTAAAGAATCAATCTATCTCATAATTTGGTCTTCCTCTTTTTATTCTACCTTTAACCTTTCCCAGCATTATTGTCTTTTCCAGAGAATCCTGCCTTCTCATGATGTGCCCAAAGTAGGATAGCCTCAGTCTCAACATTTTT